GCAACACAATTGTTTAAGGTTCTGATGAATATACAGCATAATATAATGATTATTTATCAATTCCTCATGTTCATATATTATTTAAATAGTCCAATACCATGTTGCTTTTTACAATAATATTTTGCTAAACTCAGTTCATAACCAGCTATGTTTCCTTGTCCTCTCAACCACCTCCAAAACTAGGCTTATTTTACCTCAATATTTTTTATTCTCTTTTGGATAGATTTGGATCTCCTAACATACTAACTTCAGTACTTAACATTGTTTCCTAAGGAATCTTTTGGTCTTGTCCATATTAACATGGCCCTTATTTAGAGTCCACTGCCAAATACAAGATCATCTAAATTCTCCTAACTGGTCTGCTGGTGTCACTTTCTACAAATCCACCTTCTCCACCATTTTCCAAGTGATCTCATTGTAACACTCAAGTCAGATTATGTCATTCCACTAATTAATATCCTTTAAAATTCTCCAGGACTAATAAGGGTGTTTTGCAAAATGTTCTGGTATGAGTTCCTAGGATTCTGGGAAGATGCCTGTAGGGTCACTACAGAAGATAAGAAGGCATTTAGCCATGCAGGGACCTGCTACTTTAACCAGAGCCATTCTACTTGTTCATCTGTTTTTTTGTATATATCAAAACTTCATATAATATTGTTTTAAAAAGTTGTTTTGCTATTGTTTTTCAATGAAAGGTAGAATTATTGGTCTTATGAATAGACTCCAATTAATGTAATCTTGCATACAAACCCCTTTGTGACCTGATCCCTACGGATTTATTAACCTTAACTCACGCCTCTGAATTATTCACAGGTCTTAAAACATACCACAGTTTTATACGATGTCAAGTTTTGTCCACATCTACACTTTAATTCATGCAGTGCCCTCATCTAGAATGCCTGCCTTCTCACCCTACTTCATTAGCAAATTTCAGTGCCCTTCAGGTCTCAGCTTAATTACACTATGTCTGAGAAACCTTCCCTAACTTGTAAATGTGCCTTGCTTACAACTCAATTATAACACATAATAATGTATATTAACATTATTAGTCTGCACATTTATTACTAGATCTGCCAAACTTGGCTAAACAGATTTCTAAACCAGACTAGTAACAACCACAGTAGACTAAATAGTATGTAATGGCTAGGTTCCAATTCTTTTTCCTCCTACCTTTACTCTAAGAACAAACATTTATTAAATTAATGAAATAATTTCTCTAAAAAGATAATGTTTGACCAAACATTTTAAGATGAGAAAGCTCTTAATTCACACAGTTATTTCCTTACATGGAACTGATAAATTAGAGTTTAGCTTAGTGAAAAGGATTTTAGAAAATAAAAATACGTCCTTGGTAACAACTTCTGGTAACATGGGACCAGCATATACCTTTTTTTTTTTTGTATTTTTTATTGTCTGAAGACAGCAAGTAGAAGAAAGTAGCCATCATTTGGTTACCAAGCATTTAGCTTCTTTTCAGATTACAGTTTCAATCATTATCAGGAAATTTAACTATAATATTTAGATTATGATTAGCCTGACATTATATTAGGTCACTAAATATAAAACGTCTGATTTTGAATCAAAAGTTTATTATATCTCAAACAAGAAGTACAATTAATCAAAGTATGTGCCTAAAGTATCGACACAGTTTTGTCATCTTAACAGTAGCCTGCTTCTGCCAGCAGCGAAGAAGTCTAGAGAGCCAGTGGCAATCAAATCACAAAAGGCATTCTCCACAGCTTGTTCAGAATTGAATATTTGTCCTTGTAAGAAGTGGTCCAATGCCTGGAAGAAGTGGTAGTCAGTTGGTATAAGATCTGGTGAATACCTGGATCACAGAGAGTTTCCAAGTCCAGCTCTTGTAGTTTGAACAGCGTTGTTTTTTGCAACAGGTGGTCTTGCCAGAGGATTGGCCTGTCTCTACTGATCAATCTCAGCTGCTTAATCATAAACATCCTCATCATTTCGTCCGATTGATTGCAGTAGACATCCACTGTAATTGATTGACCAGGATTCATGAAGCTGTAGTGAATAACACCAGCGCTGGACCACCAAACAGACACCATTAGCTTTTTCTGATGAATATTCGGTTTTGGACTGTGTTTCAGCACGTCACCTTTATCCAGCCATTGTGCTGAATGCTTGCAATTGTCAAAAAAATCCATTTTTCATCAACATGTAACAATACGGTATGGAAATGGTTGGTCTTTATGTCATGACAGCAAAGAAAGGTAAGCTTCAAGATGATTTACCTTCTGATGCTCATTTAATTCATGCGGTACCCATCTATCCAGCTTCTTCACCTTGGCCATTTGTTTCAAATGGTCCAATACTGTTGGAATAGTAACATCGAACCTTGCTGCTAATTCCCACGTAGGTTGAGATGGATTCGCTTCCACTACAGCTTTCAGCTCATCATTATCAACCTTGGTGTCAGGTCATCTCATGGCTCATTTCCAAGATTAAAATCACCAGAATGGAACTTTTCAAACCATTGACACACTGTATGTTCATTAGCCAGATCATTAATATGTTGATATTTCAAGCTGTCTACGCTGCACTGGTTCCACAACGGAACTCACATTCGAAAATAACACGAATTTTTGACTTATCCAAGGTTTCACAAAAATTGCTCTAAAAATTTTTTTTGAAAGACAATCACAAGGCAGAACGCGCATTTGAAAGAATGA